GCCCTGTATGTCCTACTTCTTATACACTTAACATTTTAAGCTATAAGAGCATGGAAATTCCTATGTTTTAATTTTAACTAAAAGAAACTTTTGAGTTCTTAATCATCTCTGACCAAAAAAACAAATCAATCCTGGGTGTAAAAGACAAAGCAGTTAGAGACAAGAAAACTACCAGCATGCCACCCTTACACGTCCAATCACCACCCAGTTAAGCAGGGCAGTAAGGGCAAGAAACCATCACGGTCAGTACCCCAACACAACCACAAAACTCTGTCCTAAGTGGGTGAAACACATTTGTCCAACAAACCCATCTCACACTTAACCTTCACTTGTCAGATCCTTCCTGCCTTTGGCCAAAGCATGCTCATCACTTTCACATTCCTATTTCAGTGAACTAGGGCCAAAGTTCACTTTACAACACAGCAACACCTCATCTTTGCATATATAACACTTTACCATTGTTAAAGCACTTTCTTGCCCATTATCTCAAAACACCAAATTGAGATGGTATAGTATTACAGGAACAACAAAGAGCTGGCAGACTTGGTTTCTAACTTCAGCTCAGCACTAATAAGATACTGTAGCTCTCTAACCTTCTCTTTTCTTACCTGCCAAATACAAGCATCCTCCTCCCCCTCCTATTAGTGGGGTAGCTACTACCTCTACCAAAGACAACAAGTGGTAACACTTATCAATTACTGGGCAGTGCCTGTAGCTCAGTGAGTAAGGCTCCAGCCCCATATACTGAGGGTGGCAGGCTCCAACCCGGCCCCGGCCAAACTGCAACAAAAAAATAGCCGGGCAGGCCTGTGGCAGGCACCTGTAGTCCCAGCTCCTCAGGAGACTGAGGCAAGAGAATGGCCTAAGCCCAAGAGCTGGAGGTTGCTGTGAATTGTGATGCCACGGCACTCAGGGCATCACAGCCCATAGGCGACAAAGTGAGACTCTGTCTCAAAAAAAAAGAAAAAACATTATCAATTACTACTATTCACAGGACTATTGTTGCTATGACCAAACTAAAATTCAAATTCTGAACAAACACCTTAAAGCCCTTGGTCCTATTAAGATCACAGCAAAAACAATTTAACTGATAATTATTTTTCTAATTCAGATGCAATAAATCTACTCTTGTTTACAAACATGTCAAGAAAATGCTTGATATGAATACAATAGACCCTTCCCCATAAGACAAATTGTGCATAAAAACAAAGTTTAATAAGAAAAAATCATAAATAATGTATCCAAAACCCAGATAAATTTAAAAAAGTATCATTAAGCATCTTTTAAATACATTTTTAAAGGTAACCTGAGACCTTCCTATTAGAAACATTTAATATGTACAGCATGAGAATAAAAGTTACAGAAAGGGAAGGATAAATGTACCTCACTTCGTAGTACTACAGTATTACACTATGAAAGAAGAAAGCAATTTCTTTCCATGCTACTGTACTATAAAAAAATTAGACTGGCTCGGTTTTTTGTTTCACATAGTAACATAATTATCAGTAATTTAACTATCAAGACCTAGTTAAAATCAGTCAAATGTACTGTTTTTGCTAAATATTTATAATAAAAGGTCAGCGGCATATTCATACATGAAGAACAAGTAGTAAGGCATCTTTAAGAATTTTCCCTCTTCTGCATCCTCTTAGAACTACCACTGAAAAATCTCGTTAACATGTCCCTTTG